TCACTAACCAACCACCCAGTCAGTATCCTCTGTTTCTGTGAGTGAATTTAGTCCTTAACCGTTTATTGAAGAACAACTACTTTCGATTACTGTTCAGTGCATCTGTTAACATACCTAAGGATATACAAATGTTGTAGAAAACATTGTTTTATAGTAATACCTGTATAAATATACCTGAATACGCACGCTAGTAAAGATGTGTCTGACTATAACATTAGTCGTATCTTGAGGTTGTATTTTAACCACCATTGATTTTATGCAGTTAATAAACAAAGCTTGGTGATGAACACTAAAAAGTAGAATTTTACGATAGTTGCCTCCTATCTCTGTGTACAAATCCGAATCATTAGACTTGGCGATCGTGTTAAAACATTCATTGATGGAGTTTTATCAGCACAATAACTTAGATAAACCAACACATTAGTTGCTGTTCAATGTGTTGTTGCGTGAAGTTGGTACTAACTTTCTCTGGCTACTAGCGTGTAGTTGGTACCAATAATTACTGAAAAGAAGTATTATCTCTATCTAAGTATCTGGTGTGAAAATCTGTCATATATATTTGCATATAATGAAAGGAAACACGAATGCTCACAAGTAGTCAACAGGAATCAGAAATCGTGTGATAATGCTAACGAAAGGGGAGAAAATTACGACAGGTTATAAAAGCAAAATAATATAGGGATAAAAGTAATAATGAGTACGCAAAATCAACTCATTTTGTAACTTGAAGTTAGCCAGAATTGTAACATGACCCAATGGTGAAAATATTGAGTTAATAAAATTGTACTACTTATAAACTTTGTTAGTATGCACAACAATATAGTGACAATTTATAATGCGATTGTCCATGTACAAACAGAACAACATCCTGTAGCCAGAAAAGTTGATGTATTTCTGAAACGATTTGTAATAAAGAACCAAAAATCATTACCCCGTACACGATGTACACTTAAGGTTATGGAAACCTTGAGTCCGGAAGCACAAAGTAAATTCTATCAATGGGAATAGTTTATTTTGTAGATGATGTTCAGATTTCCTTTTGTCATTTCATCCTTTGCTTTATTGAAGATTTATTGGAATAGTTTTGCTAGTTTATGTGTGTTGGGATATTCAGGAAAATATCCCAAAAATTATCCTGTTAAGCCTAATGCTATCCTTGGACATGAAATGGTATCATCTTATTGGTCAATATTTGTTTAACGTGTCATTTTCCTACTGGACATTATTGTACAAATGTTATTTTCTATTTTATGGTACGTTGTGGTCTGCTTGACTGGTATATAAACAAAGTATGTTTGAAATATAATGATTCATATATCCGAGGCTGTGACTTGTGTTCTGGACTTAACTGGCTGGGTTAGACAGGGAAGCGGGACCAATCAGAACCCTAGGCCGTTCTACGTGTTTGTGCGTCTTTGGTCCGATCAATAATTCGCTACCCCTTAATCCGCAGCATTTTTCAGTCATAACAATTGGCGACGGAGATGGGATTAGAACCCACGCGGGGAAACCCCAATGTTCTGAACTGATTTAATAATATCACTGTCATTTCCGACATATCTTTCATGCATGGTAGGATGGCCCATTTGTTAACTTCTATATTTGAGTTTGTTTTTGTTGATAAGTTTGTATTAACATCGCTTGATGAAACTGCGTAGATAGCTGTTATTTTGAAACATAGTCACTAGATACTTTTCTTCGTTCCTCTGAGCTTTGTTTCACAGTGTGTTTTCTCTCTTTTGAATAAAGTTTTCACGCAATTTATTTTGTGAGTTCTTGGGTTATGGCTACAGTAGTTGAGAACTAGATCTGCGTGGGTTGACTTCTGATATCCTTGAGTCTCCAGTTTCCCATTGTCGGCCCTGATGATCAATAAATCTAGGAATGATAATTCATTATTCGACTCCTGTTCGATTATGAATCGTATGTCACCGAAGACGTTGCTAATCAAACTGTAAGTAATTTCCAGCTCGTCCGTTTTGATGATAATGAATACGTTGTCCACATAACGAATCCAGATTTTCGGCTTGATCATTGGTAAGATCGAGGCTTCCAGTCTGAACATCCCAGCTTCTGCAATAAGTCCCAATATTGGTGATCCGATTGATGTTCCCTTCGTCTGTTTGTACATTTTATTGTTGAAATAAAAATATGTTATTAAGCATAAATCGATGAGTTTTAGTAGACTTTGACTTTAAGGTTTCGTGTACTTTGGGAGGTTTGTGCTGTTAGTGGGGAGAATAGATAGTTTTCTATGATAAGTTTGGTTCAAATGAGGTGAATAAGGCTGTTACGTTGAATGATATTTTTAGTTCGTCATTGTTGATTTGAATCTCTTTACTTTTATCTAAGAATTGTATAAGATTTAGTGGAGTGATTGGATGTATCCACTGAGTGCTTCAATATTCTTGAAATTTCTCTCGACAAATTGTATATTGGGGTTGCCTGGAGTAATACAATTGAACGTAGTGGGATGTTTGGTATATTTAGTTTCAGCTTACCATAAGATTGAGGGAGTACTAGTCCACTAGATTTCATTCGCCATTGATTTTGTTTCGATAGTTGTCTTGTATTGACAAGCTTGCCTAGAGTCTTATGGACTTGAATCCATTGATTTATATACGCTCTTATTCTCAAGTAGTTCTTCGGCTTTCCTTATATATTCTTTCTTGTCCATAATCATTGTAGTGCGTGGACGAATATAGGAACAAGAATCAGATCAAAGGGAGATACAATCAAAATAAAGATGCAGACAATAACAGGTTAAAGGTCAATAATAAACAACCAAGACCGAGGTCGACAGGACAATTCACTTCTATCTAAAGTCTGTCCTGATGATGCTGTTCAGAAGAACAATGAAGGTTCTTAGACTAAACCATCCAACCCAGAGAACGAAAATCCAGGAAAATAAATATCTTTTCGATAGTTATATTGTCGTTTTGTTAAACATAAATGAGTTGAATACTACATTAAATATTATAACAATCAACTATTGAATGGACTTTTTAATAGGTGTTAACGTAGCTTAACTATGTGGCGCATTTGACTTCTGTTAGGAAGATTACAAGATTACTCAAATTTTGTTAAAAATGATGAAATGTTACTAGAAATGGAAACTGCAAATATTATTTTTCTAATTCAATTTTCTGAATAACCTTCACCTTTTTCTGATTGGTCAGCATTACTCTTAGTTCTCTGGATTTCTGTATCACTGACGGTCATGTTTTTGTTACTATATATAAACAGAGTTGTACCATTTCATTCTGCGTTATTTTTTCCTGCTATTCATCATCTCACTGTGTTATCGTGTAAGTGTTGTGTGCTAGTCGCTGTTATCGATTTATGAAATAGACCAAGTTATTTTTGAGTAGCTCAATCATTTTCAATTTCGCAATAATTTTGAACTCGTATTGAATCCTGAAAATCAAGATACAACAACTTCCAAATATTAGGTTTCAAGTTTGGACGCCGCTGTTTCTAATCTCATTTGAACAGTTGAATAGTATATGATGTTTTTACGAAATACAGGCAACTTAGATCATTTGGGCTACCTGTTCCTGCCATCTAGATATTTCAACAAGTTATAGATTTTTGTTTGTTTTAATATATCATTATGTTTATTAATCGCATAACCTATCCTGCTGCGTTTCTGAAAAGTGTACAACCTTTCGTTATCAAAGTTACAAAAAAATAAGAGACAATGTGGTTGCTGGCAATATACAACGAAAAGAATGCATATTATTCAGATATTCATTCACTGAAGTGCTAACATCTAACTGGCGATCGCTCAATATTTATCGCCAGGACCAACCAAGAAGAAAGAAACGGAAACTTGTTGAAATACTTTGCGTTGAGAATTCTTTATTGTATCAAAAATATAATATTGAATAAAGCTAATAATAATAATAATAATAATAATAATAATAATAACAATAACAATAATAATAATAATAATAATAATAATAATAATAATGAAAATACATATCAATCATTGAGTTAGATAAATGGTTTCTGTAATCTGACAGTCATTAATTGAGTCATGGAGAGGCAATAGCAACCCTAAATGTCAATAACTATTAGTTGTTACAACCTCTAACGCAACTTATTTTTATAACGCAATTTTGAAATAGAAAATCGTAGTGTTTTTCTCATTGAACAAAACTGCCAATCAATAATGGATTGTTATTTACGTGCAAATACTGAATGACACGCATTAGATCTGTTACACCTAGATGCTTGTATTGGACAACATAAACCAGAAAAAAGAGACCTGAAGACAATCTATATTTTAAGATTGCTGTATAATGTAAAGGTAGACGAGTATGTCTCAGGATTATTTCAAGACAACATCAAATTTACCAGTGTGTAGAAAGCCATTGAGAAAAAAATGATTGCTCCGGGTTCTATATGATTCTAATGACAGTAATTCATTTGTTTATTTTCATCATAACAGCTTGAAAATGTTAAAATTCTTATAAGCAGAGATGGATGGTGGCCAGTAGTGGAAGCCAGGACTCGCGTTTCATCCTATTTAAGAGTCGTCAGATGGATTTATCTGAATTCCAGAGTTGATGTTCACTTCGAGACTTGAACCTAGTACTGTTCACTTCAAACGCCGTTGCGAACGGTAGTGGGTTCGAGTCCCAGAGTGAACATCAACTCTCGAATGCATATACACTCAGCTGAAAAGTCCCAAATAGAACGAAACGCGAGTCCTGGATTCTACTGCTGGCCACCATCCATCTCTGCTTATAATGTTTTTGATTCAAGGTAATATCGAGGTAATCTGCACAAAATGCACATATGCCAATAAGAGACTGATCAATGGGAAGATCCAAAAAACCAATACAGAAATGGATTGTTATGTTTTCCTACATTTTTAGGGTGATGCAGATTTGCATACGACAATTACTATGAAACTATTTTAACAACCATTTGTATATTTGAAAATATAGGAAAATAAGCAAATCATTTATCAACATACAAAAAAAACAGCTTACGGTAGACGCTGACCATGATATAGCGTTTATATATCCACTTCGTGTGAGCGAATTCTGCCAACTACCCAAATGCACAGAAATTCGATGCAGCAAATCGATGTAATCACATGGTAGAAAATAATGCCAACGTAACAGAAAGACTACTAAGCCAGTCAAGAAACAATGCTGAATGCACCACCAATAATCAATATATAAGTGTTCATTCTGTAATATAACAGAAAACAATAATAACAATCTATCGACTTGGAATAATACATTAGTCTGTTGGAGATAAACCAGGATTTGAAACTGGTCTTTACAAATTTGTGAGCCTGGCTTTAAAAACTAACAGGGTTCCGTATGTATTTATTATGTTTTCAGGCTTCCTTGAATAACTCTACACGCACTGTAGGTCAACGACTAATCTGTATCTTGACAAACAAAAGCGCATTTCATTCGTTCGATAAAGCTATACATATAAATCATTCGATAGACAAGCGTATGTGTGGAATTTATTAGCATCTCGAAAGCTGTCAAAAAATAAGCCCAATGAGGAGTAGGGAAATATAACCACTTCTCTGTACTGTTCCACACAAGTAGTAAGATTAGGAACCGTATTGTCTTATCTAGTCATTCTCCTAACTTTGGGACCGACAAAATTAAAGAAACAAAGCAAAATTCAGACCGAAATGATTTGGGGGAACAGGCGATATCGTTATATTGCACCAAAATAAATGACAATCATTTCTTGTTAGTATGGGATGTATTTGAGCAAACAAAATGTAGAGCACCGCTATCAGATTGACAGGACCTAGTGTTTGAGATCGAGAAGTTCTTGCAACTGGAGTAAGTGTGAGTGATAAAAAAAGTAGCATAGTAAGGTAAATGCCTGAGTGGATTGTGATGTGTGACACCCTTAGGGTTATCGCAGAGTTTGTTGGGTTATAAAACATCGAACTTACAGCACTATGATGCTAGAAGTTATGACTAAGCGCTTGTGAAATGTCTTTTATGAGTTACAACATACAGAGAAATAGAATTTTCAAGAAATGATATTTTTGTTTGAAATGTGCATACCTGGACAAATATCATTGGTAGAAAGCATCCATAATAAACTGCATGTAAGGTACCAATTAAAATATCCATTAACCTTGCATTAAAATCACGTCTATACAGTTCAACTTCTTCACGTATTTGTTCAGGTGTTGCACCTAAACACTGATGATTCATTAAATAATTATTTGAATCTACGTCACTTGTATAGTAGATGGTTTGAAATGATGGATGATCAGTTGATGCATGGAGTTGTCTTGAAGGAACAAATGTATATGGCGTTGGAAAAAACATGTTCTCAAAAGGTAAACATGGCCAATCCGTAATGATTGTGAGACATCGCCAACAGGATGATGTAAACAGCTATATTAGTCAAATTCACAAGAAGAGAATAACTTATGGAAAGCGACAAAAATTATTTCCAGAGGTCTAATTAAACTTAAATGATAATTAGAAAATGTTTCAATATGAAGTTAAGAATCACCATCGAAAAATTGAGCAATTCATAATATATTATATCTGTTGAACAATTATCTATATGAAAAACTGAAGATGTAAAGAGAAGAACTCAGTTGACTCTGAGAATTGGAACATAATAAAGAACAATTTCATTTGAATCATATCCGATTGTCAGTATAGGGTTGTGGAGGTTATTAAGTTTTTGATTGAGATCATGAATTGATTGGTGTTAGACCACCATTGAAAACCTGGAAGCACTGGACGGCCGTTTCGTCCTACTGTGGGACTCCTCAGCAGTGCGCATCTACGATCCCGCTCGCGGGATTCGAACCCAGAGCCTTCAACCTTATGAACGAACGCTTAAACTTTAGACCACTGAACCAACTGATTTCAATTTGTATTAAATCGAGTTTGTTAACCCTAAATTCCTGTTATCTTTATAGCTGTGACTTTGTGATAATCATATGGTTTAATACGTTAAGTAGCATATATTTTAAATCGGTCTGACAGTTTAGAGGTTTGCTTGGTATTATTCTTGTTTCTATCCGTCACTGAGTTTATATTTAATGGATTCATGCCTTAAGTATCTTGAAATATGTTTATCAGTTTACTTCACATATCTAAATATAAATTATAACCGATAATATGAGGAAATCTATAATCAAATAACTGAAAATTTCTTATCTTCTTATGAAGTAGTGAAACGTCATCAGTTGAGATGGCTGAGAAATGTGTTACGTATGCCCAACCACCGACTGTCCCGACGAGCGATCTTTTATGGTGTAGGAGTAAGCTGGAAGAAAGCTAGACGTGATCGGACCAAAACATGGCACAAATACATAAAGTTACTGACAAGTGGACTGAACCATGTTGGTAGGCGTCGACTGTCTGGTTGGGATCCGCGAGATGATAGCAACCGACGGTTAGAGACCTGGAATACTGTGACTCAAAATTGTTTGGAATAGCACAGGTGCATCCACTCTTTGTGTTCTCCTAAATTCCAATCTTCTGATTTCTTCATGTCCCTTTGTTTTTTCTATTCCCAAATTTATTTCACTGGATTATATTCCTTGAATAACATCTTCAAACTCTAATATTTCCGATTACTGTTTATACTTTTACTACCTCTACCACCACGGGATTTGAATCGACAATTGTATCTGTGTGGTAATTTGGTATGGCAACTTGAACTGATGTACGTATGTACGAAGTTCTAAGCTGTCACTGACTGACTTTAATGATAACTTGTGATAACTACAAAACAGACTTTGGAGAGTATAATAATTTACTGTAATGAGACGTTATAATTTCTAAAAGCTTAAACAAAATCACTTCTTCTGAATAGATAAAAAGATTGGAAAGATTATTCATCTGGTGATGAACAACTATTCATTGTTTTATTTTAAGCTGCATAAGCGGACTTATTAATCGCTTCTCAACCAGTCTGTGCCATATCCCACTTCATCTATAGATAATAAAGTTGTAGGGAGAATCGGCTCTCGAATTAATCAGTTGTATTATTTCTTGTAGATCAAAAAAGAAACTCGACTAACGTTCCATAGTTTATTGAGGTGCAGTTGGAGAAAAATATTCGTAAAGAAGTGCGCTTTATCCTTTATACAGTCGTAAAATAAGGCGAACAAAAAGCTAAAAAATCGACTATCCGTCCGACCAAAGTAGTCATAATGCCTGGTGAAACTAAATGGAAAATGTAGTGGACAATCACCGATTGATGTCGTACCTTGAGTTCTCCAGAGAAATGACTCAAACTGATTCATAGTGAAGATAGATTTACTTTGTCTTTACTAAAAATATCTCACTTGGTATACCTAAGGACCAAAACAGTACTTGTTACTCCCCATGACTGTATGGTAATTCAGATGCACGCATCAGTGATATATTGAGTAATTGGATCATTTACTTGGTGAAGTGTACTGTCTACATATTCACCGCCCGGATTATTTCAACTGTATATATTATTTAATGCATTAATACTGACGTAAATGGATGGAGTTTACCGGGATGAGACTCGTAATACATATAAAAGCTGCCCATCTAAGCCACCTGAAAAGGTGAGCTGATCAGAAGTAACCAAATAAGAAGATCAATTGGTGGGAATCAGAAGTGATCTGCGGGACAAGTACGGATTGATTTCCTAGGGACTAGAAATGTTTATATATAATTGAGTAATTGTGCATTTTATTCGGTAGCCCACCGTTTACTCTTGTGTTTTCGCTCAAGTAGCTAGGTGGCGGGTTAGCGCGTAGCACATTATGTATCGATATCGAATTTCGGACACCACCTATCATAACATGTTTTCCAAGATGGTAAAATGATTTCAATTATCGTAAATGTGTCCGAACAAACATCGCTGAACCTCACCATTGATTAACATGTTGTCACTGGACGTCAACAATCCTTCAGAAACAACAATGATCAGATATACAGTCACCAAAGGCCGGGCTTCACTAGCAAAGAGTGAAAATGTTTTCACCGATGCGTTGTAGATTTGACCTAGTAGTTAGTATTGTTTATCAGGTAAACATAACTTCCTACCCAACCTGTCTTACGTAAATTGAAACTGGTTGAATGTTAGAAACGTGCGACGATGACCGAATCGCATCGCATGGCAGATTATAATCATAGATATAATTTCATAATTTAACCCTGAATCGTTTCGTTCTTTATACACTATGAAAAATCGTATGGTAATATGAGTTTGTTTAATATTAATACAAGTTTTCTGTTGAAGCAGAAAAACAGTCAATACAATTGTTGTACGAAGTTGACTCCACAAAATAAGAAACGGTATGACCTATTAAACAATCATAGTTAGGGTGTTCGTGAATCGGTATTTTCGAGAAATCCCTTATTTCCATTTAATCCCTCGTTCTTATCATCAGTATGGCTACAGCCTTAGATAATCACAAATATACTAGTAACAACATCTGACCGATAATTCCAAAATAATGAAACCAGTAGAACTGAGTGTTCCGACTAAAACAGTTTGAACAACTTAGTCTAATGGGTAAACACGAAAAGATATGCAGCCGCCAATTGATTTTTATGTAATTTTCTACTTCACTTTGTTTCATTTATTCATATTTTTATAGGTATATCAACACAATTAATTGGTTGTATTTGATGAAAACTACGGACATGAACATGCCAAAATTATGCGAGTTACCTATCGTAAATACGTTTGCTTTGAATGGATTATTTAACATGTACCATTCTGAGCATAGCTATTATAACGCTGAATATATTTTATAAAGCAGAACAATTAGTCTGACGAAGGGATCGCTGTCATTTAGTAAAAAGTATAACTTCAGTAATGGGTGACGAAGCTCGATGGGATACTGCAGAAATCCATCGAGTTCTAGTTCGTTGAAAGGCATTTCCTCCTGATTATTCTAAACCACTTGTTCTATAAACTAAAAGGTATTGAATAGACTGTAGGTTGGTACGTGGTAACAATATCCAATATATATCATACCATTACTTGATACATCATTAATCAAAGATGCGAAGAGAAACAGAGGAAGTGATTACTGTAACCACATATAATATAGGATTTAAAACAGTGGGGTTCGATGGTTGCATATGTTACGAATTGTGCACTTTGAAGAACCCTGTTTATTGTTTACAGGTTCATAATGCGCTTTGTCGTTTCAAAGTGAATGGGGTAATTTTGAAGATATAAAGAGGTGTTGGAACTCATCACTGAGTCACATCACTATTATTAGTATTTGAAAACTTACTGATCAGGTTACATTTTGACCAATACACAATACTATATAATCAAAAAGTTTCACACTTTCAACCTGATTACCAATGAGTATTGTCGGTCAGCATATCACACATGTTCAAACTATCCTAGTTGATGATAATTTAAACTAAGATCTGTTTAAAGGAGGAAGAAAAGAACGAATAAATCATTTGTTACACTGCTACTCTACAACTCATAATGACAGGTCAGAATGAAATTATAACACAAAAAATAACACAAAAGAATAGATAAAAAAGGCACAAACTGATAATCTGCATTAACCTGTAGACAATTTCTTAACCTGAAAACAGACGGTCGATATACAACTCTTGAACTACTGTCGCCCCAATAATTATTATTGGTACTATCAGTACCATTTGGATGATGATGACGACTGTCTTGACAAACGATTTTCTCCAAATAACGAGAATGGTAAACTAAGAGAGTCAGTATGGGACTGAAATGAATAATAAAAAAATAATTAGGATAAATGATTAGTATGTAATCATACACACAGTCATCATGGAGCAGATGAATCCAATATATATCCTTATCTCAATCGTCAGGTTTCTAGTTTAGCCTAATACTTCCTTTTGAATTCGTCACATCGAATCGTATTTAGTCTTGCTCATTATCATTCGTATTACATTATTTTGATTCCTTTCACAATTCGTCTTGTTGTTTTCATCTCTCCATGCTAATGTGTTTCGATAACTTGGGCCAATACACATCTGTACCAGTCTTTAATTTGATGACTTATTGATACAGTTCTAATTATCCAAATTTATGTATCAATATTTTTTAAACACGATATAAAAAATTAATTCCTGTCTTGCTAAATGTCCATATCGTCCTGAAGAAATAAGACCTGCTACGCACATTTAGTGAGCAATAGTGAGGAGCATCTGTCAAACTGAAAAATACCAAGTCTATGCAACCACATATTCAGTGTGTAAAACCTTAACAGACAAATTACCAGTAATAAATAGGATCAAAACTTACAAATACGCCAGCAACAATATTCCGGATAGGTGATACAAGATTGTTGTCCCGGAATATTCTATCCGATTTAAAATCCAGATCATGACGTAGCCCCAGGAAGTAAAAATGAGTAAACCCAGGACTGAGCGCATTATCAGTGATGTCATTATAAATGAAGGAAGAAGCTTTTTAAAAAAGCAAAAATATTTTATTGTGTTCATATATGTATGTCAAAACGGGATTAAGGGTAAAAACGACGAGTTGTTAGCACTCACTATGAACCCGTCCAATTTAATCCCTTAGTTTGAGGCCTCGCTAGTGGCCAGAGAAAGTTAGTACCAACTTCACGCAACAACACATTGAACAGCAACTAATGTGTTGGTTTATCTAAGTTATTGTGCTGATAAAACTCCATCAATGAATGTTTTAACACGATCGCCAAGTCTAATGATTCGGATTTGTACACAGAGATAGGAGGCAACTATCGTAAAATTCTACTTTTTAGTGTTCATCACCAAGCTTTGTTTATTAACTGCATAAAATCAATGGTGGTTAAAATACAACCTCAAGATACGACTAATGTTATAGTCAGACACATCTTTACTAGCGTGCGTATTCAGGTATATTTATACAGGTATTACTATAAAACAATGTTTTCTACAACATTTGTATATCCTTAGGTATGTTAACAGATGCACTGAACAGTAATCGAAAGTAGTTGTTCTTCAATAAACGGTTAAGGACTAAATTCACTCACAGAAACAGAGGATACTGACTGGGTGGTTGGTTAGTGAGAGAGAGCAACTAGAAAGAGATTAAAGAAGTAATAACTTCAGAATGTCAAAGGGTTTTGGGTTCCAAAAAACACCATCATGAACAACGGATCCTCGTTGACAGCTCAGGCAAAAATCAAGAAATGGAAAACAAGACGACGGAAGTCAACAACAGCCGAACCAGAACACAGAAAGCCAAGACATACGTTGAATATGCACAGGAAAGGCAAACAAAAGAATGAAGAAGACTATTAAAGCCGACAAGTGGAAATAAGTAAAAGATCTGGCAACTTCGGGAGAAAAAGCTGCAAAAGAATGAAAATGAAATAATCTCACGATTCAACAAATAAGCTGGCACGGAAATATAGTATAACCGATCGGACAGTCAGGAGCAAACAAGGTGAACCAATCACCGAGATCTACGAGGAAAGTGATAGGTAGGTAGGCAACTTGAACACAGTTAGATGATTTGGAATTCGAGGTCTTCTTAGCCCCAATACATGCATACACACAAATATTTGTCGGTGAATCGAACCTATGAAGCTGCGGCTTCCTTCAAAATAGTCATGGACATTTACAACAGAAGAAGCAAAATCTTGAAGTACAGTACATCGAGCATTAAACAAATCACACTTGGTGGGGAGACTCTCGAAAAGGTGAGAGCCTTTTTTACATAAATATGGTGTATCTGAAACTGATGTCAATCTATGAATTGGTAAAGCAATGGTAGCATCCCTACAATTCTGTGACATTTTGAAGTCAAAGGAATAATCACTGATTCGAAATCGGGATTTTCAATACTAGCGTTAAAACCATTCTATTGTACGATGCTGAGACTTGGAGAACTACCACAACCATCACCAAAATAGTACATGTATTTATAAACAACTGTATAGAAAAGATACTACAGATCCATTGTCCGGAGATCCTCAGCAATAACCTACTGTGGCAGCGAACAAATCAGGACAAGATGCTGGAGGTAGATAGAATACATATTGAGTAAACTGTCGAACTGCACCACAGGACAAGTCGTATTTTGGAATCCTCAAGGAAGAAGAAAAAGAGACAAACTCAAGAACACATAGAGTCGGGAATCAGAGTTAGACAGCAACGACATAAACAGCACTTGCCAAAAACTAGTTTAAGTAGGGAGTGGTAGTACATAAATTCCAATAAATTCGTTTCTCATTCCTTTCAAACGATAGATAAGGAAGAATATATGTCACCAACTGCTATGTTTCCGTTTGAGTTTTTCAAGATTCAGTATACTAGGAATTTTTATGTTTCTTATGATGACAGACGAGTACATGCATTTAGCATTCGTGATTATTCAGTCCAAATAATTCTAAAACATGATGGTTAGTTGAAAGATTTGTAGATTTGATAAACAGGCGGCTCGAACACATCATTTAAATCACATGATAAACAAACAGTCAGTCAGAGAGGGGTTTTGTGGACATTGTAGTAATTTAATAATTGAATTCATGAGTCCATTGAAGCTAGACCACTGCTGAAGAGTTTCATACTAGGATGAAACAGCCATCCAGTGCTTCCAGGTTTCCCGTGGTAGTCTAGCTTCAATTAGCTCATGAGTTCAATTATTAAAACATTCAGTCATCTATAAAATTGAATTTAATTCTAGATAAGCATTACTTCAGTGAAGCGGAAAAGAACATACCTTAAGCACTATTAAATAGACATACGGAGTACACAGCATAAAGATGATATGGGCCGTAACATAATAGTCGACTGAGTCAAGTTCCTAAAAATTGTAAAAGAATATTATTAATCTTCAGGTTGAACTACGTGAAAAATTTAATTTTGAATTGACTTCTGATTTGGGAATATTAAAAATAAAAAATTATTGTGTCTAGTTTTGGTTTTACAGACCTTAGCGATGATCATTCTATATCATCAATTGATTGGAGAATGTAAAATATTGAGCTCTTATGGAATGAATGCATGATGAAGTACTCGACGCTGGGACTGAAGATATAATATCTGGTTTCGTACAGAAATGAGGGTGTATATAGCTATGAACCAAGAAAATACTCTTTATTCAGATGATGTTAATTCATGATGACGGTATATAATATGCAAAGTCCGTCAAAGTATCACATCATCTGATGTGGTTGAGCAAACAGTTAGAGGTGACTAAAGGTTACAAATTCGCTCACTCAGTTGACACAGGACGTAACAATGACGTGAATAAAGCCTTTCAAGTTATCCATTTTGTTCCATTAAATTTACCACATGGCTTACAGGTTCGTCTTTTGTATATCCCTGAAGCTATCACAATCCACATCCAGAAAACCAACCTCTGTACTCAAAAGAAGTTTGTATAGCTATCGACAGAGGTCAAATAAAAGAAGAGCAAGCCTATTATTATCAACCCTAGAACTGAATATTCAAATTCTTTACTACGCATTTGTTACTTCCGTTGGACTTCTTATCATGGACTCAATCAATTTTACTGTTATTAATCCTTAAACCCCATATCCTATTCCATTCATTGACCTATTAATGCCCTCGAATATTTGTCATCTATTAACTCCAGTCTCTAATTGTTTTTTTCTAGCCATTTACAACTATTTTCGTAAACATTTGAATTTGTAATATTATCTAACACCACCAACTGACCGATATATTTTATTGTTAAATATATATTAGTGTAGAGCCATGATGACAAACCAATAGAAAACAAATATTCCATTACTATATTCGTCGTTTTACTGAATACCTGAATGAGAACTTTCACAACTCTAGGTTTATTTATGCATTTTTAACTTACTACAGGGTATTCGATTGACGAATTCGGTAACCACCACACAGTTCTATACAGATACATGTGCTGAGTTAATGTAGATGTTAAGCACAGCATTAGACTGAGAGAAAGAAATGATATACGGGATAATTTGGGCACAACAGGAAATGTAGAGTGCTTCACTAATGGTACTGACGACACCATCTGCTCACATGCTCTATAATAAAATACATCAGAAAAGGGATGACAGGAATTTCTATTGGTACTCTTACCTTCGTGTATTGTTATTAACACCACCACCAATAGGTCCTAAACGTCCAGATGATCGTTTAATAGGCATACTATTTAAATCCAATTTAATCCCTTAATGTACAGTAAATTACATAGTTGGGCTAAGTAGAAAAATATACCAGGAAAATTGAGTACAAACTCAATACACATAGTGTAAAGTGATTAATAGAAAAGCTAAACAGAATAATGTGAAATTGTTTAGTAACAGTAAATATTAGCACACCAATGTAAAACTGAGTGAGAATAATACTTTCAAAAGAAAGAAATAACTACTGGGCTACAGGCTGGAAACAGATAATCTCAAATTCAGTATGGCTAGTCAGGTAATACTAATACACCTTACACATAAAAAAATGAGACCAGTTTTTACTTCGTGAGTTCGTTTGACCTTTAACAAGGAATATATGAAACAGAAATGAAACATGGAAAAAGATAAAGACTAATCATTCAACTTGACTACTACAGATCTAGGACCATTCGACAAAACATCTTTAACTCCCCCCTCAATTCATGACCATATCCATCACTTTAGCTTTTCACTTAATTTGATTATTTGAAGGTCGAGGGAAATGTTTCATTTATATTGTTTACTCATTTCACATAAAATTTCGTACAACCAGGCATTAAAATAGTAAGAAACGAGGAGTTAATATCGTGGAGGAATAAAAAGACCAGTTGTGTAACCAGAAAAATTACGTGAACACAAAAGGATAGACACTTCAGTTAACAAAGCAACACAGATATTTATTACAGTTAAATTTCCTCCTTTTACATAAATTCACAAAACTACTGTAGGATCTTCAGTAACTTTTGTTGTGAGCCTTCTCTAATAACATCTCAAGCCACTGAGTTGCATCGTCATTAGGACCTCAACGACAATCCTACGCAACTTCATTTTATACTCCGGCACTATATTATAAACTGACCACTTCTCTGCCTTTCCCACCCAGTCCTTGTGTCGGCAATTAATGGATGATGCGCAATTCTCCAGAACGATATTCATAATACACGTCCAAGTCGCCAAAACAAGTCTTTCAAGATGGTAAAATGATTTCAATTATCGTAAATGTGTCCGGACACACATTACTGACCCTCACCATTGATTAACACGGTGTTGTCGCTGAACGTCAACAATCCTACAGAGACAACAATGATCAGACATAAACAGTCACCAAAGATTCTCAACCCAAAGGTAATGTTTCACTGGCACAGAGTAGGAATCCTCTAACGAATGTATTGTACACGACCTTTCACAGCTAGACTAACACCACAGTTCAGATTGATATATCTCGCTGACTTTTATCATACGTATATTAGTATATTCATTAACGTTACCAACCAAATACATGAACATTTCTACTGATTCCGACTCAGAATCAAGAACGAGTGCGAACACAGGCTCCTGTCAAACTGGCGGAAGCACCTTGCATTTTGAATATGCATAGTACATAGAATATCTACAGATAATGACTACTGATTAATTGAAGATTGGGTAGCATGATTTTCATCGCATAGTAAGACAATATGCACCCAATGTTGATGACTCTCTCTCTCTCGGTAACAGATGCAAATCACTACTGCCTACTTCCGTCAGAGCTGTTTTATGAGTGTTATTGACAATAAACTTGAAGAGAAATGGTGAGTTTGGGCAACTACCTAATCGCAATCTCCTTCTGAAACAGTTGGAGACAAATGATGAGAGTGAGTACTCCTGCCTAGACTCACGGCTGCAATGGAAAAGCGGAGAGGTGGTTGCGCGCTATCACTGAATGTAGTGTTGGTGTACAATGCTTTTAAGATGTTAACAAAGTGTTCGGAACAGTCTTTTCCAACAAGTCGAAGGTGGCATCGATGCAAAGAAACAACTATTCTTGCCCTAGACTTAACAGCTCAGTGTTTAGGGCGAAAATAACTATATTCTGGTGCCAATGGAGACAACAATGGTGTACATGTTCATCCAGCTAACGAGTCTTAAAACAAGGACGGAACATGCATCCTGGATTCCACCGCTGGCCGTAGTTTAGCCATCTTCTTGGACTTCATTCGCGCAAGGTTTTATGGATAGCACCACCAAAATAATTAAATAAATTGAAAATGAAGCAGTATATAAGTCGATTTATTAGGACAATCATATCTTGAAGTTAATATGTTATTTTATTTAAACTCAAACCAAAGTACCATGAAACCTTTTAACGCATCAAGTCTATGTAGTTTTACATGAACTGGTATTCATGAGTAAGAATATTGACCGTAATCCATCTCACTACTGTTCTTTCACTGATTTGGAGAGTATACATGGACACAAGAAATCTGAGTATACTAAGTTTGTATTGCGTATTAGACTTAATATGCTAACATATATAATCCCACAGTAACTGTTTGCGAGAGTCTACGTAATGTTTACTACGACACTACTAACCATTTATCACAATTAACACTTCATGAAAAACCAATTAAAATTATAGCAATCAAAAATGATATGCATATCCTAAAGTTGACAATGTTATTTATCTGTTCTGACGAGATTTTCAAGTTTTGTGATGAAAACTTTGCTAAATAAATATAGTTTTATAAGCACTGGTCAGAGTCAGATCTACGTCCGTGAATAACACCGTCAATAAATATTGACGATAAGCACTCTGGGTAAGAAATTGTGACCAGATAATCATGTCTCGAGACACGATTTTGCATGATCATGCTAGTCAGGAAACGAAAAATAAGCGGTGACCTAGGAAGTTTCCGGACAACTTACTCATCCATACAATAATACTGTAGTAAACTGAAAATTATGGCGAGAATATAATTTGTGGATGAACTAATCACGTATAAGATAACATCTCAGATTTTGGTGCAAAAATCACTCATCCATTTGGATAAATAGAGTTTTGGCATTATAGCTGATGTAAGTTCGTGATTAAAACCCTAAACCTAATTCCTAACCTTAATCATCAACTGTAAATCATAATTTTAATTCCTCACACAGGCTTATAACCCTCTTCGGTCCTGGTTATTAGGTGGACACTGTCAAGGTCAGTCTAAATTCAAATGGTTCAAATGGTTCAAATGGTTGTGGACGGAATAGAAGAAGCTTTCGCTTAACAGGCTTCCGTGTCTAGTAGCAGGGGATCACCAAATCCTCCAGGCAGGAACCTAGGTATGTTAACAGTAAAAGAGGAAAAGAAATTGGTAAATCATAATATGATGCTGTCCTTGGTCCTTAAGAATAGGTCATGTTGCCTCTTGAAGGACTCCTGAGAAGTCGCTTGGACTAGCTCGGCCGGCAGCGAGTTCCAGCTTTTGACAACTCTTAAGGAGTAGAAGTTGTGTCTACATTCCGTCTTGCTATGTTGTGTTTCCAGTTTCTGGGTGTTACCCCTTAGGTTATTATTCGAACTAAGCTTAAGTAGGTGTTTAAGAGGATGTCCAGAAGTGTTAAGAATACTATAAGCCATTAATAAATCACCTCTAAGACGCCTATATTCTAGTGGGTAAAGGTCTAGTGAACGGAGGCATTCTTCGTAAGGCTTAGATTTGAGTCCTCGAACTGATTTCGTGGCTCGCCGTTGGATACGCTCCAAAGTGACCTTGTCCTTTTGGAGTGAGGGGGGGAGTACTATGTTTCCGTACTCTAAATGGGGACGGATGAAACTATTGAAGATTGTGTGGAAAGTTCTTCCGTTAAACTGGCCAAAAATGCGCCTCAACGTTACCAGTGCAAGGTTTGCTCGGAAGGCATTTTTGTCACAGTTAGCGTAAGACTTCAAGTCATGGGGCACCAGGACTCCTAAATCTTTTTCGACTTGGAATACTACTAGAGAGGAGTTTCCTAAGTTGTAACTGTAGTTTGCGACATGTCGCAGATGGACTACTTTACACTTTGAAGTGTTAAAGGTAAGTCCGTTATCGTCTGCCCAACTTTGAAGTCGAGTCAGATCCTCTCGAAGTGCCTGTATATCGTCTTGGTTGCGTATCTCTCTCCAAAGTTTCACGTCGTCGGCAAAAAGTAATAAGTCTGACGTTACCTGTTGAGGAAGATCATTTATGTAGATCAAGAAGAGAAGAGGCCCTAGTACTGAGCCCTGGGGGACCCCACTAGGACATTCCATAGCTTGAGATAAAGTGAAATTAACCCTAACCTTAAAGTGTCGATTTTTTAGGTATGAAGTAAGCCAGTCGATTAGAGGTGGTTTGATACCTAGTCGTTTGAGCTTGTTGATAAGACACAAGTGGTTAACCTTATCAAAAGCTTTTGAGAAATCAAGGTAAATGACATCAACCTTTCCTTTGCGATCGAGGATGCTTGTCCATCTGTTCACCGCAGTCAGCAGGTTGGTTATAGAAGAGTAACCCTTCCTGAAACCATGCTGTTGGGGTGAGAAGAAATTTAAGGACAGTAGATAGTCATTTAAACCGTCGCATATCAGGGACTCCATGAGTTTTGAAGGTAACGACAGAAGAGCTACCGGCCGATAACTTGAAGGTTCATTGCGTCGACCACCTTTGAAAATTGGTGTGATGTGAGCCAACTTCCAGTTTTCCGGTAATTTGCCTCGGCTAAGCGAGTGTGAAAACATCACGCTAAGCGGCGTTGCCAGGATTGAGGCTGCCTCCCTCAGTATGGCAGGATGAACCATATCCGGGCCAGGAGAAGTGTCAAGTCTTAAGTGCTGCAGTTTCCGGAACACCAAGTCAGCGCTTAGGTCCACTTCAGAAAGTCCTGTGGAATTGCAGATGAAACTGTCGTCAATAAAGTTGATGTCAGCCGGTTGAAATGTTTGAGAGTAATGTGCCGCCAGAAGGTTAGCGGCGTCGCCATCGTTGTTGGTCGGGCCGTTAAGACCTAGCAGTTGAGAAACTCCTGTTTTGGCTTGACGAAGTGAGGCTGCATAACGGAATAGGCTTCTAGGGTTAGAGGCGAATTTGTCCATAAGCTTTGTTTGGTACTGAAGCCTGTCTTCTCTTATAGCCTTCGTGCATGTGTTCCTGATATGTTTGTATTGCCTATACGCTCCATCGTTATTAGTTCGTTTGTATTCCGCCCAACAGTGCCGTTTGCGGCTTAGGAGGCGAAGGGTACGGTTCTTGATAACTGTAGGTGGCTTGAAGCTTTTGGGAACCGTTTGAGGAACTGAATGGTCTGTAGCACATAAGAGCGCGTGCAGTAAGAAGTCCCAATGACCATCCACATCGATTTGAGGGTGAACATCCCAAACCACCTGTTGTCGATGGTCATGTAGAGCTGGCACATTCAGCCGTTTAAAATTCCAACGCAAATTATTATTGCGATACCTTAGCTTAGTTTTGATGACAAAACTGAAGGCTATGACGGCATGATCGCTTTTTCCCAGAGGAGCCAGGATTGAGAGGTTGTCGACTAGGAATTCTTCGTTAGTGAATACACAGTCTAAGCGCGATGGTGTCTGACTGTTTCTCCAACGAGTTGCCGACCTCACATTTTCATATAAGCCCAAGTTATCGATGAGGTTGAAGAACCGAGCTTCAGTTGAGTTGTCGCCTCCAGTATACGTGTGTTCCGCGAAGTTGACTCTAGGGAGATTAAAGTCCCCTAGAATCAGAATGTGTGTGAAACCGAGACGGATAGAGCGGGATAGTCCTTCCAGCATACGACTATCGTACTCGGTGTCGGCAGTTGGCTTCCTGTAAATGACTCCGACTAGACACCTGGAAGTACTAGACAACCTTATAGAGCACCACATGGATTCCTCAAGATTGTTAAACTCGAGGTTGTGAACCTGGTGCACCTCCAAGCAAAAGCTTATGTATATGGCTACTCCGCCCCCAATTCCTATTTTTCTGTCGTTGCGGAACAAAGTCATCCCAGGTAATGCCAACTCTTGATCCGAGAACTGAGATTCTCCCTCGGTATCTACCCCTTCATACCTTATAATATCATCCCACAATCTACGCAATAAGGAGAACATTCTAGCGATTCCAAGAACCCACACAAACTTACGTCAGAATTTTTTCCTTATTCGCTACTCAACCATGTGGAACAGACTGCCAGTGAACCTCCTTTGCAGTGAAACTACAACCCGGTTCAAAAGTCTCCTTGATGATTTTCTTTCCGAAAGTGGATTATGTCACCTATTGAATATCAATGTATTCAATAATGATTTATACAAACAAGGTCCATCATCCATTTAATTGCTTGAAAAGCAAAATAAAACCTTTAAATCTTTTCACATCTATCTTGTTTTATTTCTCTTTATCTTAATATATGAAGTCTGCTTATGTTCATGTTTATCATTATTACGGTTATTAATATCATTATTAGTTCCCCGACACATTAGATATTCTTTTTGTATCTTCTTATCCTTCTAAACATATTTAACTACAGATTGTCCTTTGAAATCAATTTTGACTTTCATAGCATCAATCTTAATTATTATTGCACAAATATTTATACTAATATCCGGTTTCACTCTGTATACTATTACATAAATCTAAATGTATTCATCCGAGTGCTTTAAAGGATTTTTTTAAATTTCTGGTTTCCTTCTGAGGTTGATATTCATTACACAATTATTATTTTTATCATGGATGAATCTTTTCACTAGGTGTTCACTTCTTTTCTTTCTCTTCTTTCCCTCTAAATAAATATTATTCTTAATATTACGAAGTTTGTAATTAAAACAATAACTTGTGTTACACTTTAATTAACTTCTCAGATTCGTTTCATCTTCACTATGCATATATGACTCATACATAGTGATATTTTATTATACTTTTCACTAAATTGTGACTTTCATAACATCACTCTAAATTATAACTGCACAAACATTTATTCTAGTGTCATATCTTACTACATTGATAAATTATTTTTTCTTACTAATTTAACGATACACACATAGTCGTTTATTCTTGTTTTGTGTTCATAAACACCCCTATTAGACTGTTTGCGTATTTCACGTCTCCTTTATTTCTATTCCCTTATTTTCTCCATTTCCTTCTTTAAACTCAATTCAATATTCTTCTCAATTACAAAGACCCCATTTATTATTATTAATATTCTACTATTATTATTCTCAATTTTTTATTTTATTTTTATTATTATTTTTTTTAAATATGGCAAGTATAATGCTAACATTATTGAAAATTGTGTATTATTGCATTTTCTGAAGAAACCCGAAATGGTTTCTTCACAACACTTATGTACCCATAAGATGTTTGTGAATAATAATAATAATAATATCCAGGTTTCAGATATTCCTATCAGATGGGCCTTGTTAGCGTTGCTAAGTTCACGTAGTTCATCCAGTTTGTTTGGTAAACTCGCGGCGTTCATATATAAGCAGTTTATGCTTTCAATTTGGAACGCGTGAGCTTCGTCCTGTTTTTCTGTATGAACCTTATGTGAATGGACAGGTAGCCCACCTATATGAGGTTTGCCGAGGTGGTAGGCCCTGTCCTTTACGCGTTTTTTTATCGTTTAGACAGTCCACAAGTGGAATGGTCAGCTCCAACTTGCCTTTGTTCTTGGTCCTGACTTCGTATGGCCTATCCGGATGCATGTGGATTCCAGGTGGCAATCGACGTCTATTAGCACGAAATGCTTCCAGAACTGCAGCCGCCATGTGGGAAGATGGGAAGGTTATCTTCATTAGACGGGGTCTAAGATCACCGTCCTTCTTGGCTAGTCTCGTCACATGCTGAGTCAGTATGTGTTTGAGCCTCAAGGACTGTTTGATGAATTTCCATTCCCTGATGTCAGAATTTGATTGAGTAGGGTCTGCATTTTCCGGTATACCTTGGACAATTATGTTTCTTCCGCGGAAGAACTTTTCGCGAGATTCTTTAGGGACGTTTCGTATGATATTGCGTCAGAGTACGGTATGTCGGGCAATATTCTTACGTTACCATCTGATTTCAGTAAGTGACTTGCTAGCAAGACGTCCTCTACGTCGGTAGCATCCTTAAGTGTTACTCGGAGAAGCCTCGGGTGATTTAGATGCTTAGAATCCTTTCCTCGAGTGGGCCGGGTGACCGTCAAAGGCTCTATTCTAGGAAGTTCGAGCTTCTTGTTCAATTCACCCCA